TAGAGTCTTATCATCTAAAAGTTCTTTGCAAAGCAAAGTTCTTCAACTGTGGGGAGGTTTGTTTTTTTTTTTTTTCAACTTTTGACAAAAATCCATGTGATCCCCTGAAGAGTCTCTATTTTGTCAAATTGGCATTTTCCGACAGAAAATTGATCTGTTGGAAAATCTTCCTTGAGGTCTATTAAACACTTGAGTCTGACATTTTGGGTTACAATTGCTTCATTTGTATGTGCTGAATCATAGGCATGATAAAATCAATTACTCCTAAGCACCGCTGGTGATGGTGCCTCATTGTACTTGCAGAGTGCAGGAATGCAATACTGCTGTTCCTTGGTCAGTAATATAGTCCCTGTTGTTTTATTATGATAGCCACAAGCAGGTTAATGTACTCTAGCAAAAGAAGGCTCCCAGAAAATATCTGTTCAATTTAAGTGGAAAAGAGATGCCTAATGGGCATTTCCTAGAAATGAAGTGAGTAATAAAGGATAGCAGTTTGTGATGTATGAGGATCAGGTTCTATTACCTTGCAAGGGGAAAAATGCTGTTTTTCTCAGAGCAAGCTGGAAAATTACGTGGCACAGTATTAAGCTCCTGGGGGTAGGGACTGGTCCTGTCTGTGTCTTTGAAACACCTAGCAACATGTAGATCACTTATTATTTATCATGAATAAACTCGCAGATAGAAGAGTGGCTCAGGATTGAGTCCCATTGTTCTGGGTATTGTTTAAACACAGACACCATTGAGATGCTTTGTACATCTCTGGACATATACAGTGTTTAGGCTGCACATCCAGGCCAGGGTAGCCCCAGCCAGCATTGGTTCTCTGAGACACCCTTTCTAGACACCACTCCTGTCCTGTGTTCATCTCCGTGTCTTTGTCACTGGCCTGTATTGAGTGCAAATTATGACACTTCCCCCACTAGCAAAAACAAAATTGTCCAGTGAGTCGGGCAGTTGAGCCACATTTTTCCTACTTGCCTTGGAATCCTTTGCGCCGAGACCAAAAATCCATGTTAAGGATAAGTTGCAATCTATCCCACAGAAGGGTATTATCAAGCAAACAATGCTTTATAAATGATTTGGCCAGAGAGGAACAAAAGATCTCCATCTGCTTTGTAGCTTAGTGAAGCTTTAACTTTGAAAAATTCTGCAAAGCCAAGAATAGCTTCAGCAACCAAGGAAGGCCAATGAAATCAACATAAATGATGCAGATCTAATAGCCTTTGGAAACCTTTGCTTTAGTTTCACTCATTCTGCCACATATACACATTCTCTGGGCGTTCTGCACTTCTCTCTGGAGCACTGAGTACTTGCACATGGGACTAGTACAAAGTTTTGGTGTGTGGCACAGTAGAAAAGACTCTGTGCCTGCCCGAGGTACCTGAGTGCTAATTGTTTGAGTCTGCTCATCTGAGCTGGCTGCATGTATTTTCTCTCCTCACTAGAAGTCTTTGACTTTCAGGTGCGTTTGTCTTTTTAAAGGGGGGGCAAATATGATTTCACCAAGAAAAAGAAGAGGCAAGTATACTTGGTCACCCATGTGAGCCTTCCTCCTGTTTTCTTGCAGGAAGTCTGGATTTGATGTGAAAAGCTTATTTTAGGTAGGTTTTAATTTAGCTTTTAGATATATACATAATAAACAACTTTAAGCACAGATCTCCTCCCTTGTTACCAAATGCATTATCTGATTCAGGTGTCTTAAGAGGCCACACAGCCTGTTAAATGGGCTGGCTAGGCCTTCTGCTGTCACAGAGTGGAGAGGGAGAAAGGGCAAGAGAGAGGAGAGGAGACCAGCAGCTAACTTGGATGAAAAGCATCTGTAGAAAATAGAAAGAATCAGGTGGTCGCAAGCAAGAGTGTATTAAGAGGCACAGGGCAGAAATTGGTGGGGTGCGACTGTGGCCCAATATACCAGCTTAGACTAGTTGCTTGCTTTGCACAAATGTGTTATCTCTTTTAGGTCATTTATTTTTGGCTATAGACATAAATGGATGTTAGGCATTTGTACCTTCAGACAGATTCTGCTGCCTTCCTCCATTTTGCGAAAACAAAACACCTTTAAGAACTATTTTAAAGCAGTCTGAATTGAAGTTCCTCCTTTCCCCTATAGCCATTCCAGTCTAAATAGCCTGGCAGGGTTTGGAAAACACTCCTGCTTATTCTGTTCCTCTCTCTCAGTTGCTAGTGATGCCTTGAGCTCATCCCCATTGTACCACCAAACCACAATGAGACAGCATGAGTTTCATGTGTTTCTTTCATTTTAGCAACCCAGTTGGCTACTTTGCCTGGAGCAGTCTATATTTTTCAATGGCTTGGTCACGCCAAGGAAGATTTCCTAAAGGCCTTCTTTCCACCCGCCCACCTCCCCCCTCTTTGTTCCCTGTGGCTCATGACTCACGCTGAGCCGATTGAGCGTTTCAGGGCATGCCAATGAGGAACACGACTAGATAGATGGCAATGAGCTTGTGAGCTACTAGGAGAGGTTTCAAAAGCACAGATGGCAGATAAGTGCCTAACTTGCACTGGGATTTCCCCTTGCAGGATTATAGCAAATCATTTCAGACACAAATGCCTGAAGTTAGGCAGCTAAATCCATGTTCTAGTTACCCAACTAAAATTAGCTTGATTTGCCGAGGCACCAAGCACCTGATCTGCAGGTGATCAGAATAAAATTTGAAACAGGCCACTTACATTTATCTGTATAAATATGAATTAAGGTGTGATGCTTGAATCTGACACTGCTGACCTTTTATCTGTCATCCCACTAATATGTCGCCATTTCCCCCACGATGTCCCTTTGCAATTTCTGACCACCTGTTTGCATGGAGCTGAATAATGCCTTGCAGAAGATATTCCCAGCAGCTCCATTTGACAAAGTAGAAAGAAGGTTGTCTCAGACTTTACTTTGCCATGCAAAGAACTACGCCCACATCTTTTCTCCACCTCTGGCTGCTACCCTCTGGAAAATGTCATTAATTGTTTCTCCCTGTCTTTTATTATTTTTTGGTCTAAACTTCAATTACATTTTCTCAAAAAAAATCGTACTTTGGGAAATGCCAACCAGTTGTTTTGCTCTGCATTATAAATGATTTGAAAATCATTTCCCATGACTGTACAGTAGCCCAAGACGCTTATAAACACAATTTTAACTTGTAATGACTTGTTGCTAGTCAACCCTGCAGAAAGCAGGGCTCTCATTATTAAGACTTGCAGTATGTGAGAATCCGGTACCAATTGAAGTGTCCAGGAAGGATGTTCTTGGCAATGAATCTGTATGTGAGTCTTTTGTTTTGTTTGGAATGGATTTCTTGAAATGTGAATGAAGGCATTAGTGAGTAATAGCTATTGAGTGCATTGTTCATTGACTAATGTCTCAACAGTTAGCAATGAGAAACTGACTTTATGAGCATTATTTTCAGAGAAAACACTAATTGGGAAATGCATGGCCTGATTCTCAAATGGTGAAAATCAGCATATCTCAAGTCAAGTCAATGAAGCTGTGCTAGATATACAAGCTGAGGGTCTCAACCAGAGTTCCTAGGGATAGAGTATGCTACGCTATCCCTCTTTTTTTTTTTTTAATAAAGTTTGAGTTTCTCTTGCAGTTGATGGAGAGATCCAGTAGGAATAATATTTGGGAGTGAATTTCTTAATGTGGAGATACTTGACACTCCTAGTTGGAGTGATTAACAAACCACCGAAGAAAGTTGTGGATTATGCATAGCTTGAGGCCTTCAGATCAATCCCTGAATGCCTTACTGGAAAAAAATGCAATAGTCCAGTAAAAGTAATTGGGCTCAAAGGAGTAACTGGATGATATTCCCTGCCTTGTGTAATTCAAGACATCTTCCTCGGTGACCTAATTACTGGTCCCTTCTGGCCCCGAGATCTGTAAATTTGAGTGGTACGTCATTTTATTTCTTCCAAGCATAACTATGGACAGATATGAAAATATGAATGGTTACTTTTTAGTCTATGTTTAGAAAAAGTATGACCCTCTGAATGATGGGGAATATTTGTGTTCTAGTTTCTCATATTATGCCACTAAAATAAAACTTTTTTGAATTGGTTGGAAGTTCAGCTAGAGGAATAGTTAGCTACTCAATGGAGTTGCATGGGAAGACTGGGGAAAACTTCAAAAGCTACTAATTTTGTCCTTGCTGTTTGTTTCATAATTACTGGCATTATGCATTGATAATTGCAAATGCATTATGCATTGAATATTGATAATATAGAAGGTGTAGATAATGGACCCTTGCCTTAAAAGCCATTTCTTATGGTAATAAGAGAAACTAGCTAAAAGGTGTGAAACTTTTAGCTGGAGCTGAGTCTGAGGGTTGTAGCAAAAGGGCCTGAACTTCCTAACTAGCCTCTTGCTCTACCAAAAACTGCATCTGAGCTTAAAAATTCAGCGCGCCTTTGCTTGAGAATTGGGTAGTGTCTACCCTCAGAGATCGAGGGAGTCTGAGTGAACTGTCTGGGGCCCCATTTCATGACATTTGCCAGGCATTTAAAGCTGGTGAAGAAACAAGAATCATTGAAAATGGGAACGAAAGGCACAGCTCAGCCATGGAAGTAAAGAGGAAGTCAAAATGCAAGCAGTGTAGTAGCTCATCATGACTTTAAAAAGAGACAGTGGTGAGGGGGACTGAGGTTAGTGGGCACTACCATGTGTCCCATCCAGATGGGCTGCATTTACTTACCTTTGTGTTAGATTCCCATCGGCACATTATTCCCCAACGTGCTATTGCTGAGCACATGCTGCCTTTGGCAGCAGTTTAATGATAGACAGTGTGCTTAGTGATATGTTTTTGTATGTGATTATAAGATGAGAGTCTTCCCCCCACTCCCCCAATGCCAACTGGAGAGAAGAAAACCTTGTCTTGTATTTGAATAAATACAACGCTGTTTGCTTAAATATTTAAAAAACCCGCCTTGATCCTAGGCCTACTGCACACTCTTCTGTACTGTTACTTTAATTTTATATTTTTCCCCCCTAGGTTTAGCCAAGCCAATGGGACTAGTTGAAGGTCCAGGAGGCCTGGGCCAGGGAGGAATGGCTGCTACTCTGAGAGATGACAGTCATGAGTCTGAGACTAAGTATGAAGAATATGGTTACAATGCCCAGCTTAGTGACCGGATATCCCTGGACAGGTCCATTCCTGACTACAGACCAAAAAAGTAAGTTGAACCCCACATTATTATTATTGCAAGTGATTATTGTTCCCCTGATGCTGGTAACACAGGCTTTTTTGCATGCCTTAGCATCAGCATGCAGGAAAAGGTCAGCCACGTATATACTACTGAATTTAATGAAAATTATAAAGGCCAATTGCAATCTCAAGCTTGAAGACCCATAACAACATGCATAGCTAATTTTATAAGGAAAGCAGCAATATACTGGTGTCTGTGTCCTTGAATCAAACATTACTTCAAAACATGGACTTTGTTTTAGTTTACTAAAAATCTTGACAAAAGCTACATGAGCTCAGTTATCAGAGACAGTGACCTTGTTTTGTGCCTGTAGGATTCATGGCAGCACCAGTTTAACCAAAACAGCGCTATTTTATAGACTGCTAATTTTAAGACCAAAAACCTTAAATCAAATGCCTTGTATTTATTTGCACTTATGATGTCCTTGTGAAAGACTTGTATAGGCAGGGTATTTATTCCTCTTTCTATTGTGTTGAAATGGATACAAGAGCAACAAATCAGGGCCCTTTAATTATAGTAAGAGATGCATTTAAGATTTTTTACTGTCTAGGAATATGTCTATTTGTACTTTAATATTTTATTCCTCACATGTCTACACTGCATTTGACACAGCAATTACATATTTAATATTTTGTACTTATTTATGATGGGTTGCATTAAGTGGCTTTCCAATCTTTCCATATGTACATTGTTTTGTGTCTTTTAGAAGAGCCGTCCCTCTCCGTCATCCTCAGAATGACAAATCAGTAATGTTTTAATGCAGTGGAGATCAGCAATATTTAGTTACTCTTGGTAGATGGATTGAAAAGTATCCTTAATTAATTTCTAGTAATAATCTTCTGTTTTAAAATCCCCACTGGGGCTCCCAGGCAGAACTCAAAGTTAAATAAAAAGTAGCTTAGTAAGTGGGGTGAAAAGTTTAGTCAAGTACAATAGCCATGCTCAGTAATCACATTACAATATAAATAAGGTTCTTAGATGGTTCAAGCTGCCAAGAATGAAATCCAGCAAAAGGAAACTTCAGCCTACCTATGTCTTCCCTTAGCTTCCCCCTGGGCCAGTCTAGTCTCAGAAGTATTTACTCTGCACATATGTACAAAGATGCTTTCTTATAGAAAAGTAAGCCTAGATCAGATAGGTTGAATAGAGAGAGAAGAGAACATTGTCTGGATGTCATATCTATCTCTGCGTGTCACAAAAAACCCAGCATTGGATTATAACAGGAAAGAGGCAAAGCTTCCGATCTGGAGTTATCCTGTGACTATAAAAGTTGTATTTTGAGCTTAGTGCAAAGCTCATTGAAGTCAGTGGAAATCTTTCAAATGGACTTCAGTGGCCTTTGGATCAAATGTGTCATTAGCCAATAGACTCGGATGGCTGGTAAGTAAGAGTGAATGAACTTCAAAAAAGGAAAAGGAGGCCACAGCCACAAAGTTTGGATCTAGCTCCAAAGCTTGTAGGATGTTTTGAAGCTGGCAATACTCACATTTCCAGTTTGACTTTCCCTCACCTTTACTTAGAAGCTTTGAGAGTTGGCTCAGAAACACATTAACCAACCCTATATGACATGCCTGGTGTGGCCGGGAATCTCATGAGAACATGCTGTCTCATACAAGGTCTGAAATACTGTGAGAAACACCTTCCCCTTGTGGTGTTTTGAAACTTTTCGGATGGATCTGAAAGCTGAAACATCTGTGCCTGGCTATGTGTGAATCTAAAAAAAATCCCTCATTTCAAATTTGCTTTGAAAAATGAGTGAAAGTTCAGGGGAAGGCAGGGATTTGTATTATCTGTGCACATCAGGAGAGAGTCCACGTTTGTTTGGTTGGTATATTTTATTATATTTCCCTTTTCTACTATAATTTTCATAAGGCACGTTTTTCTTTTTTTCTTTGAAACTCTAGACTTGCAGATGCTTAAACAGCATATTCTTGGGAACTCAGAGGCACCATTTGGGAGATGTAAAAACATAAAGAGCAAAGACTATCATTAGTTGCATTCACTATATGTACCTGGTGTTCAGCATTATATCTGGATGTTGTACCCTAAGAAACTTGCTGCCATATGAGCAATATACAGCTTTGTCTAGAAGCTGAGACTGAGATGTTCACAGGTGCTTAAATAATTGGGATGCCTGGTTTTTATTAGGAGCCAGCGAGAACTGGATGTCAGCCTTTGTGTAACTTGGAAAAGCCTTGATGTTCCTGCTGTGTATGACTTCATACTGTGTCCAACTTGCCTAGAGATCTCTGTAACCTCTGTGGCCCTCTTCACTGGGAACCTGAAAATCGTGCATGGATGTTATCCGGGAAATGCTCCTGTGACTATACAACAATAAACCAATATTTCTATTTTACTGGTTAGGAACAGGATAGAATGAATGCCCAAGGTCACACAAGAAGCCAGGAAGTTGAAGGCAAATCTTCTGAGCCCCGCTCCAATATCTTGTCTCTACACCATTCTTCCTGGCCCACTTGACCTCCTTTTTTGCAGGTCTAACCCATGGCATTTGCATACAGCAGCAGGTATTATGGATGCAAGTCAATAACCATTATGCTCAGCTGCTCACTTGCGCGTACTTTTGTACCCGGTTTATGAACATGAACAGAGTGACGCAGCACGCGTGGAGTTGTAATGTGAGAATGACTCTATTTGCATGGTGCAAGTCACTTGAAGATTAATGGAGTTCTATGTGTTAGCATTCACTATGCTTTAATTACTGATTGTGGGACATTTCCCCCATCTTTATTCACCCTCTATACAATAATGTAGTTGTTGTATCTACTAATGTGTCTTAAATAAATGTGCCACAATTTTATTTCTTTTTAGGGATGCATTTTCATCCATACCGTAAAACGGGAACCCGCCCCACCCTCTCACAAAAGGAATATACATTCAGAACATAGCAGTACAAATGACACTGAATGAGAGTCCCCTCCCTGTCTCACTCCCATGCAAGGAAATTCGTGCACCTGTGTAGTCCTGCCATTAAGCTGTTTCTCCTTTGATTGCATTATTTCCCTGCTTTTCCACCTGCTGCAGTTACAGATAACTTTAGAATCAAAAGTCTTTTCCACAAAAAAAAAAAAAAAAAAAAAAAAAAGGAAAGGAAGAAAGAAAAATACCCAGTACTGGACAAGCAGCAGGTTTTCATGCATTATATTGCCACGTGGCAATTAGAAATAATTACAGTATATAGTACATTTAAAATTACAATTTACAGAATAGGAATAAAATACAATTATGTAGCCCAAACATTGTGCAGGAAATATGCCTTGGCTTTTCCTTCCCCTACCATCTGAGGTACACTCATGACATTTTTCATTATGAACCTCTTTGTATGAGCTAATTAGGTTTGATCCTGAGCAGCATTTTGAGAAATCTGATTTCCCATTGCATGTTTCATGCCATAAATTGGCTCATTGTGGGGTTAAACTGGTGACCCTTGCTTATAAAATTTTGTAAGCCTTCATGGCTAATGTCTGTATTCCAGCAATTTTGGACTGTTATTTTTCTGAGAAGATGCAAGTAATGGAAACAATACTTGTAAAATACTTTCTAGTGCAAAACTAGAGTAGATCTGGTCTGGCTGATGTGTGAATTTCACAATCTTTGAAGTGAAAAGTCTTGCACTGGACTGAACTGGGATTTTGACTGGCAGCTTCATATCAGTGGAAAATTCTGTCTTTGCGTCTATTAAAATACATGCTAATGCTTTTAAAAGTGCAAACCAGTTAGCAGGAGTCATTACTGGCTGTCTAAACTTTCTAGAGAAGTGCTTCTGAAATCCACATTAATGCCCAACATCCTGCAGGATTATTTTTGTTGCAATGCATATCAAAGGAGTCAATCATGCTTGTGATGGAATTATTTTGATCTGCTTTCAGATAGACATCCATACCCATCATCTGAATTGTGCACCGTTCATCAAGTTAAGGACAAATCAAAGAAAAGCAGGGATGAGAAAAGGGGTTTTTATTAGTCTCCCATTCGCAATTCCCTGATGCTGCTGAGTGTTTTATTGACATGTTGAGGCCATTCACCTGCTAGATTAATCTGTGGATGCTATTGACTAATGCATTTCTCTGTTGGTACTTGGTTTCTCAGCACAGGGTGGGTCAGCTAAGGAGTAATCCAAAGAGGCTTATCCTCCTGCTTCTCCTTTTCTTTTATAGGGTACCTGCAGTCAAAGCACTAGAAAAACTTGGCGGGCCCTGCTAGAATGCTCTCTTCCCCTTCTCTGCCATGGATAGGAGGAAGGCGAGATTCAGTTTAGGAGCCAATAATCTTTCTGTTGAAAACCAGTGCTGGCCATCTAGATTTCTGTGGGGAAATTCATGTTTAATAGAAGAATTCTCGTTGGAAATGCTTAGATGTCTCCGGTTCCATGTTCTGAGCATCGGTGAATTGGGTCTTTGCATTGTCCAGTTAGCCAATGTGCGTGCGCACGTGTGTGTATTTGTAAAAGTACATGTATGCATGTTAAGTTGTGTGCACGTATGCATGGGTGTATAAAAGAGAGAGAGAGGAAGGGATCATGACTGCAAAATTGCCATGAACTTTACCTGCTTAGATGCACAGTTTTCTCATCTGGCCTCTTACAATAATCTTGAAAACCTAGGTAATTGTATTCAAGAGACAGAATCGAATCAACCTGAGCAACTTGGCAAGTCATGTTCATTTTGATGTGAATTGTAGTAAGAATTTTTAAACAAACTCTTGGAGTTAGATGCCTAAATGTCTGCTTGGGCACCTAAATACCAGTTGTCTGATGTTTTCAAATGGGGATATCGGCCTTTTTCTGCTGCCAGCGATCCTATAGCACAGGGGTTGTCAAATATATGGCAGCAGGCCAGATCAAGAGCTGCTCTATACAGCCTGCTGGACCACCAGCATGGTGGGGAGGGGGGTGGGGGGAAGAGTGGCCTGCTGCAGAATGGTGATCAGCAGCAGCAGGACAAGGGAGG